TCCCTTCATTTATATTACATGTATCCCTTCATTTATATTTGTATCCATTTATTTATGCATACCCCCTCTTTTATGTATATCCCTTCATTTATATGTACACCCCCTTCTTTTAAATATGTATATCTCCTGTATTGACACGTATATACCATTTTTTATATATCCCCCTCATTTATATGTATCTCAGTTCAGTTATATGAATAACAATTTATGTATATATGTGTATATGTCGTGCCGAATAGGTAAAACCTGCGATTTCAGCTTAAATAGCAACGCCTTTCTTGCCGATTAAGTCAAGCGAAAATTTGTGTATGCAATAATTTCGCAAAAACATTCTGAACCTAACGAAAAAATATATTTCATTGTGTTTGTTTATTATTAAATTACTTTATACTTACCTAAAATATGTTTAGTTGGATTAGGCTAAATTAAATTGCGCTTTTTATAATAAGGTTAGGTAAGTTTTCTAAGGTTCTTTTGGTACAAAATTATTAATTTTTACATTAACATAAATAAAAAAATATATATCTTTAAAGTGTATTTATGTTGTTCATTGATCATCTTAGGTTCTCATAAACGTCAGTTTCTCAACTCTTCTTGTACACTTTGTACTTTCTTTAATTTAGGTTAGTATTATTGTAGTATAGGAAAAAATTGCAAAACCCGAAGGGGTCATACAGCGCCTGCAGTACTGGGAGGCAATGAGATCCGATCCAGGGAAAATGGGAGGATTGGTCCCGTTTTTTTTTTTTTTATCCAGAGTCGATCACCATCAGGAGGACCCTTCTCTGAGGGGAGGAGGGGGGGGGAGCTAAGTTAGGTTAGTTTATGCTGGGTTAAGTTAGGTTGAGTTAAGTTAGATAAGGCTGGATTAGGTTAGATAAGGCTGGCTTAAGTTAGGCTAAATTAGGTTACGTTAGGCTGGGATAGGTTAGATTAGGCTGGCTTAAGTTAGGCTGAGTTAGGTTAGGTAAGGCTGGGTTAGGTTAGGTAAGGCTGGGTTAGGTTAGGTATGGCTGGGTTAGGTTAGGTAAGACTGGGTTAGGTTAGGTAAGGCTGGGTTAGGTTAGGTAAGGCTGGGTTAGGTTAGGTAAGGCTGGGTTAGGTTAGGTAAGGCTGGGTTAGGTTAGGTAAGGCTGGGTTAGGTTAGGTATGGCTGGGTTAGGTTAGGTAAGGCTGGGTTAGGTTAGGTAATGGCTGGGTTAGGTTAGGTAAGGCTGGGTTAGGTTAGGTATGGCTGGGTTAGGTTAGGTAAGGCTGGGTTAGGTTAGGTAAGGCTGGGTTAGGTTAGGTAAGGCTGGGTTAGGTTAGGTAAGGCTGGGATTAGGAGCAGATTGGAGCCAGGTTTAATAAGGCTGGTTGTAGGTTAGGATTACGTTTATGAAAACGTGGTATATGTTAACAAAATAATAGAATTCAAACGAGGTTGCCTGAAAATAACCAGGATCGTATACCGTGTTGAACGATTATTATGTGAACATAAACTGCTGTCTGAACCTAGCAATTGGGTTTAAGCAATTTTCTAGCGCTACTATACAATAAAAATATTATATATAATTTTCATTGATTTGAAAATACTTTGCGATTTTTAGTTATATATATATTATAATATATATATATTATATATAATATATATTATAATATATATATATAATCATAATATATATATATATATATATATATATATATATTATATATATATATATTATTGTGACCACGAACGAGTGCTTATTGATCAATAACAACACTGCATTAGCCACATACTCGAACCCATGCTGCTTTGGCCTGCTTCATGTGGGCGAAAACGCATGACGCCCTAATCCACTGGACCATACGATCCTATAAGACTCGTATGGTCCAGTGGATTAGGGCGTCATGCGTTTTCGCCCACCATGAGGCAGGCCAAAGCAGCATGGGTTCGAGTCCTTGGCTAGTGCAGTGTTGTTATTGATATATAATATATATATATATATATATATATATATATTATGAAATAATCGCATACCTATCGATACAGGATGCAAAACAATCACATATACAACTTTCGTTTTTCCTTTTGGGCCACCCCACCTCGGTGGGATACGGCCGGTGTGTTGAAAGAAGATATATATATATATATATATATATATATATATATATATATATATATATATATATATATATATATATATATATATATATAGTAAAATTCCAAGCGCTTTCGTGACTTCTCGCATTATAAAGGAACTATAAAAGTAATATATCAAAGGAAGGTATATAAAGGGTCTAGACCACACCTCACCATCACATCCCACAACATAGCAACACCTGACGTGCGATGGCACCTGACTCATTGTCAGCATAGTTGCTGATCCTCCTTTACATGTGTTGTATGTATAGATTAGTTGAGTATCATAGTACCATCCATGTGCTTTATATAGAAGCTCCCTAGGCCTGTGACTGTATGATGTCACGGGGTACAGTTTGAGGCAGTGAGACGAGCTGCCTCGCTCTCACTCGGCGTATAGACATCCAGGCAGTAACACGCACGGCAGGCTGGGCCCATCCATTCCTTATCACAGTCTGACAATATATAGTGTTACCATCCAACAAGGTGTTTACTTTCAACCCTCGTATCTCCTTAAGAGCCCCTACGACATCATAAGAAAGGAGGAACACTGCAGCAGGCCCGCTGGCCCAACTATACAGGTCCTTCACGGCATCCCACTAACAAAATATTCTACCCAAGAATTAAGATTTATTATTTGTCCAATGTATTATTAAATTCTCAATTTTTATTAATTATAAATGGATCTAATTTATATAAACCAAAGGAAATATTCATATTATTTTCAAAACTGCTTTTTATGAAACATGATTCAATTATATTCCTGTCGACCATGGACTTGCTTGATACAACTTTCTCAACTTTTTGAAAGTCAATTGGATGGTTAAAATCTCTCACACGAATAAATAGAGCATTGGGATATACATATGTGGGAGAACCTTGAGTTTTTCCCTGAGGTATGTTTATTGTCTTCCCTGAGGATGAGGGTCCCCAGTAAAGTTCTAGAGCAGGTATCTCCCTATATTTACTATAATATATATATCTGGGCAGATTAAAAAATCCGCCCAAGTGAAATTGATCCTTTCATGTCTCATAATATATAATTAAGATACACCTAGGGGGCGCAAGTCCCCCACACCCACCTCCTGACAAGGCAGGTGTCCGGGTGAAGGGGAAAATTTTTAACTTAGAGAAACGAAAATATTTGTTTTGGTGTTGTATGCCCAGGTAACACCAGGTTATTCCGCTAGTACTGTATAGAAATGGGATTATCTCTATATCTCGGGATTATTATAACACTTGTGGGGAAAGTGTTAAATTCGTAGGATAGCTATCTACACTGAGACATATCTCTCACTGTATACAAACCGAATTTATTTTAATCCTATTTTAGAAATTTATATTATTCCTGAGTGGTACTGTTCAGGTGATATGCAGCTTTAATTAATGACAATTGTGTAGTAGGTAAGCCTTGAACCTAAACCAGCCAATCATAGCGGTAATGCAATGCCTGGGGAACAGGAGGGATCAGGTTTGAGCCATGGAAAGGGATAGCAGCTCCTATTCCGTGGATAAGGAGAGCTTCAACGGCACCAAGTATCCCCTTCCCCTTCTCTTTAGCTCCCGTGTGGTGTGCCACTTTCTTAAGGCGATCTCGCATCTGATTTCACGCGCAGCTATGGCGCTGAACACACACCAAGGCTACTGGACTCACCACCTCAAGCTTCTCCAGGCTGAGGGACTGGTCACCTCATAACTGCATCTCCACTACTTCCTCTGTCCCCTGCATATTTTAATTGAAGATACGTGCTGACCAGGTGAAACGTCTCGTCGATAAAGATACCAAATTATAGTGCACAAGTCTTACCCTTCTACTCGTCAGTATTGTATGTCTTTAATATACCAATATCTGAATTCATGGAACTTGAAGTTCTTCCAGCCTTTAGGTTAATATAACAACAGTAGAAATGGAGACACAAACAGTTTATTATAAAGCATAGTAAGGAAATTATTCCCTGTGTGCTTTATCTCCACGATACTGGCACGAAGAATTCACCGACACTATTTACAACACATGAAACCTATACACAAAGTATTTACATATAAATTATTTTGCATTATTTACAAACAATGTACATATTATGGCACATATAGGAACTTTGGGAGAGCCTCCGTGTGCAAGGGAGGCTGGTAAGGAGACTAACACGCTACAAACATGAGAGAAATAACAATTTCATAGTAAGAATCAACAGAACACACAGATGCCTTAAACTGTGATGATAAGTCAGGACATTATTTGTATACAAAACCTTTATATTGAAAACAACGTGTCACTAACGCACGGGCTTTTTATCAAGTCAGTACACGGTGCAGGTGCCCTTTTGACTGGTCAGTGTGTGGTATTATCAGAGGGAAAGAAAATAAGATGGTGTTTAAAGCACTTCCAATAACATCGAACAGAAATAACTATCATTTAGCATTGCGAGACCTCTCTCTCTGGTGACTCGGGAACCTGACGTCCTCACCACCATGTCATCCGTTATCTCACCACACCTTCCCGTCACCTCACATAATTTTTATACACTGTCCTATCACATATGCCATGCAGTGACCTGGTAAAGCCTATGTGGGCGAAACGTTGTCTCTAAAATATAGGTCTTGTCCGCAAATAGCGTTCCGTTATCATACTTGTCGGCAGTTCTGCCCTTCCATAACATACTTTAAACTGCTGAAAAATAGTGATATATTTTTTGTATCGACGAAGTGATATACGAATCCCTAATTTTATTTGACATATTAAACAGATGAATATCATCCACGCATTTGTTAACATTAATTGAAAGCTTTGTACAGTATATAATATATATATATATATATATATATATATATATATATATATATATATATATATATATATATATATATATATATATATATATATATATATGAAATTTTTAAGGATATCTAACATCTTAGGTGAATATTTCACAATAAGAATGAATTCACATATGTTGTACTTTCACCCATCAAAATATATTTGGATATATTCTGTCCAAACAGATATGTCAAGAATATCCTTATTTATCTGGGTATATAAATATTCGAATATACCAGAAGATCGTTGGAAGGGATGTCCATCCTCGCATACTCTTAAGATCGGAGACTGTTATTGCTCCGCACATCTCTGGAAGTTTGGTATATTGCGTAAAACTGGGTGGGTTTTGCGGTGTGGTTTTGCTGGTAGGATAGCGATTTCTGTATCCTTAAGGAAGCCGTTTCTTCTTTACGGAAGCAAGTGTAGCTCCTTTTAAAGAAATGGGCAGCGTTCTTCAAGGAGACTGGTTTAGCTGTTTTCAGGGTACACAGCTTTTTCAAGGAAGTCTTCAAAGAAGTGGGTACAGCTCCTTCAAGGTGTACAACGAGATGGGCACATCTGCTGCAGGGAGGCGGGTTGTCTGGTGTAAGATACAGCCGTAAGGGCAGGAAGATCACCGAGATCACTTCGAAATCGAAGATTCGCAAGAACGAGGAAGACATGTAGGGCAGGAACCAGGACGAGACTAGCGAGTCTCTGCTTCGTTCTCGACGTCGAGCTCCTCCTCTTCCTCGTGCTCGAGAACGAGACCTTCCTCGTTCTGCTTGTCCTCCGCCTTCCTGTCTCCTCCTTCACCACCTTCGTCCTCCTGCTGCTGTCGCTTGTGCTTCGTTCTCCTGTTCTGGAACCAAACTTTGACCTGTGAAAGAAAAAAAAAAATCCGTCAGAAGGAATTCAACTAATAAGAATGCACTAAAAGATGAGGGGCGGGACGTAAATTATAAAACAGACAAAATTACATAAAAATATCCTATAACAGTATGAAAGTTTCGCACAGGCAACGTTTAACCCGAAAACCTTATATATACATATATAAACATTAATCTCTCAGTTCACAGCAGGATTCGAAACTACATTCTCTGTAGCTGTATAACCCTTGAGGTTTAACGCTTCGTTTTGATAACAATACTACTCTGCATCAAAGTACGTAGTAGATTCTCCACTCGGCCAGATCCCAGATAAGTACGGGCGCCTAGCCGAAGCTAAGCGGTCACTCCTATACCCCGGACACCAGGCCAGTGACAATGTAAATTATTTCGCCTGCTTGCGAACTGTTAAGCATATAATGCTGTGAGAGGACATGTGACGGGTAGACGAGGTGTGTGATGAGGAACATGTAAGCCAGTGATCCCTTGGTACTGGTGAGGTGTTTGTGGGTAGAATCATGGCAGTGGCTCAGTGTTGGAGACTCCATATTTATCTTTGCTATTTGCTATACCTGTGATGGGCTTCCAAAGTTTTCCTACTCTAGCAGCCTGGCTAACCAGGCTGTTGAGGCTGGCGGACCGCTGGCCCCAACATAATCATCACAGCCTGGTTTATCCGGCACTTAAACAGAGTGAAACCTTGTAGCAACAAAAGCATTCTGCAGCGTTTCGTTGTCTGTATTTGTCGCCATTTCATCATTATTACATTATTTTGACGTTTCGCTCTACACAGAGCGAAACGTCACCACAATAAAAGCGTGCCGTGCAAATATTTATCCTCTATTATGTCGGCATCTCGCTCTTGTATCCATCTACTGCAAAAATACTTTCCTATATCCTTTCTAAATCTTAATTCATCCAACTTATGAAAGGGATTGATGGAATGATTGAACAATGGATCTGTGAATGCTTATGTTTACCATCACCCCTCTATAACCCTCTGGTCACCCCTCTATAACCCTCTTGTCACCCCTTTATAACCCTCTGATTACCCTTCTATAACCTGGGAACCCTTCTATAGCCCTCTTGTTACCCCTCTATGTCCCTCCCTAACTTGTGTCCTCTCAAATCATTCCCCAGTTTCCACTCATTGCTCCATCATTCCTCAGTTTCCTCTCCTCCATCATTCCCCAGTTTCTTCTTACTGCTCCATCACTCCTTCCCTCGTACCACACTCCTTACTCCATGCTTCCCTAATCCTCACCCCATCCTCCCACTCTACTAGATCCTCAACCACTTTTCCACCCTCCCCAGCTCCTTCATCCTCATCCTCCCACGCTCTTAGATCCTCCTCCCCCACCCTCCACTTCTCCTCCCCCCTCCCCCCTCCCCCCTCCTCTCACTCCATCCCTCAGCCTCAGTTCCACCCCAACAGTCAGTACTTCTACGCTGACCGATTAAACCGATTTTACGCTCAATTACCCACTGTTGCCAGCAATATGTTGGTTTACGGCGGCAGGGGTTGGTGGGTAGTTGTGATGGGTGGTAGTGGTGGGTGGTGGGTGGTGGTGGTTGGTGGTGTGGTGGTAGTGGTGGGTGGTGGGTGGATGAGTGTTTGGAAAGAGTGACTTCTTGGGTGGGTGGACCCAAATGGAACAAAGCCCACTGCTTAGCTTTCGTAGATTATAACAAGGTTAATAAATAGAAGGAAATGGTTCCTTCCCATGAATCTACTACTAATACTACTGCTACTACTAATAATAATAAGGTCTTTTGTTGGAACAATAAAGCTTCCCAATAAAAGCTCGTCCTGCAACATGTTTGTCTGGCCTCACACATGGTCAGTGAGTCATGTCATCTCATCCTTTCAAAATAATAAATTAAACGTAGATTCTCGGAATATCACACCGAAAGATGGGGAAGATATGCCCAATTTCGCTCTAAGTGGGACTTGAAAGCACTTATTCAACCCTATTTTGCCGTGTCTGAGGCTGAAAACTGCACCCACACACACACACCACACACACACACACACACACACACAAACAGATTCGAATCACGATGTGTGTCCACGGTCCACTGATGACCCTTCCCGCTGCTTCGCTCTCCTGATGTGGAGAAGGCAAAGAGAGAAGGATAGGGAGAAAAGGGAACATGAAAGAGTGGAGGGCATTAAGGGTGGGAAAGGGAGAATAGGGAGGGAAGGAGGGGGAAAATAAGAAGAGTTGAAAGAGAGGAGAATATTAAGGGAAAAGAGGATAAGGAGGAAGGGGAATAGTAGGAAAGGGAGAGAAAGATGGAAAGGGGAAGTGGGCAGGGAGTATGGGGAAGGATAATGGGAAGAAAAGTTGAGAAAAAAGGGGAAAAGAAACAAGAAATACACACACACACAGTGGCGGGGCCAGGAGCTGGGTCTCGACCCCTGCAACCACAATTAGGTGAGTGCACCACACACACACACACACACAACACACACACACACACACACACACACACACCGCACACACAACACACACACACGCACACACACACACACACACACACACACGCACACACACACACACACACGCACACACACACACACACACACACACACACACACACACACACACACACACACAACACCACAACACACCACACACATTAAAGTCCCTGTTGGCAAATGATGTGAAGTTGATGAGAAGAATTCAACGGAGGAGGCTCCTGGAGTTTAACACCCACCAAGTGCAAGTCACGAAGATTGAGAAGGCAAAAGACCCAACGGATACAGTCTGGGGGCCAGAGACATAGAACCCTCACTCAAATGATAAAGGATTTTTGGGGGTGAGTTAACACCGGCACACAATCCTGAGGACAACATCAAACCAATACTGATGCAGCATAAGGGCCGACTAGCAAAATCTTAGAAACAGCACATTCAGGCCCTCTCAATAAGGAATCGTCAACCTAGCAGACGCACTGGTAACCGTACACCGTGTACGTTAGGCCTATATTGGAGTATGCAGCACCAGTTTGGAACCCACACCTAGCCAAGCATGTAAGGAAGCTAGAGAAAGTGCAAAGGTTTGCAACAAGACTAATCCCGGAGTTAAGGGGCATGTCCTACGAGGAGAGGTTAAAGGAAATCGACCTGACGACACTGGAGGACAGGAGAGATAGGGATATGATAACGACATATAAAATACTGAGAGGAATCGACAAGGTGGACAGAGACAGGATGTTCCAGAGATGGGACACAGCAATAAGGGGTCACAGTTGGAAGCTGAAGACTCAGATGAATCACAGGGATGTTAGGAAGAATTTCCTCAGTCACAGGGGTGTCAGGAAGTGGAATAGTCTGGGAATTGATGCAGTGGAGGCAGGAATCCATACATAGCTTTAAGAAGAGGTATGATAAAGCTCATGGAGCAGGAAGAGTGACCTAGTAACGACCAGTGAAGATGCGGGGCCAGGAGCTATGGCTTACCTGTCATCTTCAGTAAGCATTTGGGAAGACTATGGTATAGAACATGACGTCGTCTGCTTGGCTTTCACACAGAGTCCCACAGGAGCTGTGAATTGACCACTGCAACCACAAACAGGTGAGTATAGAACGTTAAAGAAACCGGCAGCACTTGGTATAAGAAATATTCTTTTGAGGATCGAGGCACAACAGTGAGCATAAATTGAACATCAGTATGGGGCCCAGTCACAAGTGGCGTTCCGCAAGAATCAGTTTTGGGCCTCATGTTGTTCATAATTTCATTTAATGACCTTGAAGGAAAAAAAAAAGTGACTCCAGTTAATTCGATGAAAGTATTAAAATAGACTGAGAAATTCAGAGGATTTAGACCATCTAGTGTTGTGGTAGATAAAGTGATGAGGTTCAATGTGGAAAAGTGCAAAGTCCTAACGCTAGGGAATGAAAATAACCCCAGCACTTATAAACCTAATAACAAAGATCTTGCTCAGAGAGAATGTGAAAAAGAACTTGGGAGTTATTAGAACATAAACAAAAAGCACTGCAGGAGGCCTACTGGCCCATGGAGAATTTTGAAGCAAAGGCAGCAGTGCCTAAGCCTGCACAGTAAGGCTAGTAAATTGTTCGGATTTACCTCAAGAAGTATAAGCAACAAGAATTCAAAGGTTTCAAGACAAAAAATACAATGGCACCTCACCTACTTCAGGTTGATGTACTGATAACATCAACTTAACCTCTCGCACTGTACTGTACCATATTCGCCTCTGATTCGACTGATAAAGCCTACTGTAAAGGTAACTAACACCGTTCCGAATAAAGATTCAAATGTGTTAACATGTACTTAGCTCAAAGATTATCCTACACTACAAATCGAGGCCTCGTTAAGTCCATGCGGACAGTTAGGACTCTTTAACAAAAGATGTAAAGTCAATGTGAGGAAGGATGTCAAAATCGTCCACTAGTACAAGAAATTCTAAATAGGAAATAGATTTGTGGCCCTAACCGACTTTAAAGGACAAAGAAATGCGGAGAGATGACTGAAATATTAGCTTCAGACATGAGTAAAGAATGTAAAGAGCGAAAGGGCCAATACCGTGACTGGAACTGACGTAAATAACCCATCACATTTCGGCTTCGAATTAACCACGTGCGGTTATTTCTGTAATAGAAAAGTACTGATTGATAATAATTTACAGAAGAGTGAACATCTGTGAAGTACTAGTGATGAAGGTAGCACATTGTGTAGCTTCAAAACGAAAGAAGTTTAGACAAAGAATCGGAGAGAAATGACTGAAAATGCTCAGATGGGGAGTAGAGACAAGGCTCCTATCAGTGGGCCAGTAGTACTATCCCAGCCTCTTAGCAATGGGCAGTATACTATCCGAAGCGTGTCCTAAGCAATGGTGCAAGTAGTACTATCAGGTAGCATGTGCCAAAGATAGATCAGCGCTCTACATGGGGCAAGTGGATTATAGCGCTCCTAGCATGGGCCAGTAGTACTATCCCAGCGCTCCTAGCATGGGGCCAGTAGTA